GATGTTTGTTACTCTTTCACGCAAAAACTAGAAAGAAAGAAAGAAAAACTACTGAACTAATTTTGATGAAGCTTTACAATAATATAGCTTATACATCAAAATAACACATAGGCTATATTCTTTTATTGAAATTTAACGCGGGTGAAACCGAGGACACAGCTGATACAAACATAATATACTTACAAACAATCATACTCATGAATACAAATGTTTGTACCGTGCGAGGAATCGAACCCGCGACCATTTGATGTAAGGCGGTGTGCTAAACCGCTAGACTGCCGCGGTCGTCAAAGTAAATGTATATTATTATTATTATAAGTAAGCGACATTTCTTTCTATCGTACCTCAGTAGTATGAGTAAGCTTGGCTGGCAGCCAGGCTCGCTCACCTGGCTGGTCCAGTTCGGTTTCCGCTCGATATATTGAGACAAACCTCTATTTATATATGTCTGCTCAAACTTGTGAATAATAAAATTGACTGGTTTTTCCGCAGGCCCTTATGCCCAATTTACACTCAGCCCGATTGGGCAGGGAAGTGAGCAGCGCGGGAGTGGAAACACTTCCCATGCCATTGTCGCTGCCACTCGCGCTGCCCGGCGCTCCCTCGACTGTCGATTTTTTGTGCGCGAGTCAAAGGACTGGCAGCGTGTTTTTACATGCAGCCCTCTCGCTCAGTTGTCGCCCGGCAATATTTCCGGCAGCGCGAGTGGCAGGGGAAGCGGCTGAATGTAAACGTAGTATTACGGACCGTTGCGTTCGGGCCCCGATCTTGCGCTCTTTACCCGGGCAGTCTGCTGGGGTGTACCACCTCAGCGTAACCTCCAGGCAACCTTCTTATTCAAAGTCAAATTCAAAAATTATTTCCTCATATAGGACAATTTAGCTTATGAACGTAAAATTTTTTATATTGTAATTTTCTCCCTACCGTCCAGTTCAGTATATAGATCCAATTGAGAAGAACTGGCAAGAAATTCAATTTAATTACTTATTTTTTTAACTATATGTATATTTATATAGGTGTCTATATCTAATATTAAATGAAAATCCCGTGCACTAACAACTATTGCATGCACGCTCGTCATTCAAGTAATCGTTTAGTGAGTAATAGGCTTTGCACAGTAAATATGATTTAACAGATGTTTTGAATTTATTTAAGGGTCATTCCAGTATATCCTTTGGTATCTTATTGTAAATTTTTATACCCATTCCCATAAAGACCTATTGACTTTTTCTAAACGATACTTGGGGACAGCAAGTTTGTCTTTAAATCTAGTATTAACATTATGAATATTATTAGTCTTCTTAAGCCTACTTTTAAGTAGTCGGCTCAATGGAATTATGTGGTGGATAATAACTAGCTGTATCCGCAACTTTATCCGCGTGAAATTTAACTTTGTTTTTCTAAAATAAAAGCAGCCTAAATTACTCCTTATTACATAAGTTACCTGCTAATAAAAGTCTCATCAAAATCGGTCCAGCCATTTCAGAGATTAGCCGGAACAAACAGACAAAAATTGTAAAAAATGTTATTATGGTGTATGTAAAATATATTACATTCATATGCATGTAATAAAAAAACGGTTATTTCAATATTCCAAACAGACACTCCAATTTTATTTATATGTATAGGTCTGTACTTATTACGAAAGTTAAAAAATAAGACGTCATCAGAAGCCTAAGAATAAGGCCTCATAGGGCATGTCCGAAACGACGGGAATTTTTATGGCGTGTCTTCCTTGCCTTGTCGTAAAACTAAACCATTAGAGCTTCATTCATAAATCTGCCATGCCGTATAAGGTCGACATCCTGTGACGTCAAATTGTCAGGGTAGACGTGGGCGACGGAATTGGCAATTGACGGGAGATTAGTCACTTCATTCATAGAAACGACCAAATATGCTTACGAGCCTGTAGAAATTTCACCAGGCTGTAGTGCTATTTATTTCCATCTTATAGGACCATTAGCTACGTTTGTTCGATGGTCTTGTGGAAAATTTTGCGATGATCGCGATTCTGATTCCCGAGCAAACATTTTTATAACTACATAAGTATATGTAGCATATTTATCTTTGTTTATTTAAGTTAGTAAGTCATAGCCCATTATGACGGTTCAACTACGATGATTTGTAGCGTGGTTGATGATTTCAAGTGGATTATCTTAGTCATCATCATTGCTAATAATGAGTCGTCTAGTCTCCATTGCTGATTACGAAAAACTGCACTGTCAAATGTATACTTGGATATATATCTAAATACTATAAGCCATGCCTGCAATTTCACCTGTATGATATTGGTAGCCTATGTGTTATTCTGATGTATAAGTTATATTACTGTAAAGTTTTGCGTGAAAAAATGGCAAACATCCATCCATACTCACACATTTTTGCGTTTATAATATTAATAGGATATAATGTATCAATATAATTCCTAACACATATAATAGACATGTAGTCTCAATCTACAATAGAATCCGAACTCAATAATGAATGGGAACCAGTGGGCGTAGATAATGGTTAAGTTCTTGAATGAAATGACGTCATAGGATTATTAGAATGGTTATCCGAGCGAGACGGACATTAACAAACTTCAGTGAGTTCGGCAATATATCACTTTTGTTTTTTTTTAATTGATGACAATGAAATGGTGCACCCGCCTGTGCTAACGGTTTACGCTGGCGAGGCACCAGTGAAGGATGGTGAGAAATAATATGAACATGAGGTCAAGTTAGTTAGCCCATCGTCACAAATCAACAAGAAGTTATCACAATGCTTTCCATGCATGTCACAATTCCAACATGTCACATTGCTAGCTATAAGCATTAGTCCACTTTTGCTAAGAATATCTTTCACCCTTCACATCACTTTTGATTTGTCTACTAAATATTGAAAGATTGCAAAATTTTCACCCAAACTCTAAACTCTTTACCCATGTATGAATTACTTTATATTATGCATTAATAGAAAAAACCATGTTCAACTCCAAAGAACTGACCTGACCCGCCTGGGTTAGAAGCTGCGTAGGACCATGTTTAAAGCCCATTATTGCAAAAAAGAAGAGGATTATTAGTAATAGTACTATTAGTCCAAATACTGGCAATGAACCAAAAAATATGTATGACATTTTCCAGACTGACCACATAGAGATCAGTCTGACAGATTGACCTCAAGCGGTCAGCTTGGAAACGAAATATATCTGACTGATTTGAATTCACGTGACCTGAAGTATGTGGGCTACTCAACTTTAAGAGCCAACTAAAAACAAAAAACATTAGAAATAATAGCACGTGAAGAGCTATAGTAGGTTGATGGCGGGTCTGCATCTGCACTGCATCCACTATTTCTTTTAAACTGAAAGGCATAGGCTTATAAGCAAGTCCTATTGTAATAACAATTTCGATATTTTCCTCTACGAAATTGGTATCAAGGTCCGATCGAGTCGTCCTTGACTATTGAGGTCACATTTAAATATAAGTTTGTGGACGTCATGAAACCTAGTCACCTCGTTCAATTGCCACCTATTTGGTCTAGTAACGATCGTATATTCGTAACTCTCGACACGCGACGATCGTTGCATACAAATAAAATAATCCGTTTAATCAGAGAGTTGACTGACCTGTTCAGACGTAATCAAATTATATATACTTGGAGAATCTGCTACATCGCAGTAACTGCGTCTCGCAAACGGCTGCCCAATCTATTACAAACAAATATTAATTATGACACATACTGAAGATATAGTACATGATTTACTAGTGGCACAACTTTTTTTACACACCGAAGTCGAGCCAATTTTTTTTCCGTCTCCATGGATGGGATCTTGTCCAAACGAATGACTCTCGTTTAGATAATACACGTTATTTCTGATCTTACAAATGTTACCCGTCAGACGAAATAATAAGGCCATTGGCCTAATGACAGCACTTTATTTTTAGTTCGGGACTTTTGAAAGCGACTCATTTAGTGCTCGGAAGGTGGATTAGGCGTCTGGAGATTGGATCGTTTTCAGAACTACGTAAATGGTCATGAAATTTCATTAGTCAAATGTCACATGCGGCGATTGGGGCTTTGGGTTGAAGATAAGTTTTGTTTGTAGATGGTAATGAAATAGAAATTTCCAGAATGAATACCAGTATCCGTGATATTGGTTCCGCTTTTTCCATACACATGTTAGAGTATACCAAGCCTAAAGTGGTAATCCATGAAACTGAACGAGTTTCCTCAAGAAGTAAAGTGAAAAATGAAAATCTTTTTTAAAACCTTCACGTGGTCAACATAGGAAAAAAAATCCAAAATTAATTTTCATTTTCACTTTTATTCTTGGTGAATTTCTTTGCAGTAGGGTTGGATTCAGATTAACCCTATATAATTATTCAACATGACAGTAACAGAGTTTTAAAACTTCTCATTAACAAAGACTCATATGATACGCAGCGGTGTTGTATCTATTGAGAAGTACTTGCTGAAAGATTGCTGTAAGGTGATTATTATAATTAATGTAAAAATCTAAATTTATTTTCCTAATAGGTAGAACATAAAGTGCTTTATTACCTATATTTATACTGTGTATCTTTACATAGTATAAAATGAAATCGATTCCGCTGACTATCGCTTAGATCTTTTAAACTACGCAACGTATTTTAATACGTTTTTAGTAGTAGATAGAGTGATTCAACAGGAAGATTTATATGTATAATAGAATAGAATAGAAAATCATTTATTCAAATAAACTTAAATTGAAGCACTTTTGAATAGTCATCACATTATTTTTTAATCTACCGCTCATTCGGAAAGCTGTCTCATCACGAGAAGCACGAGCAGGAAACTTACGTGTTGATCTTTTAAATAATGTTATTGTTACTTCACATTTTGAGTTGAATTATGTGAATACAAACTACCAATTAGTACTAATTCAATTAAATACTCAAATATAATACATGTACACCCGTGCGAAGCGGGGACGAGTATTCATAAATAAATAAATAAATAAATTCTTCTATGGCCAGGTAGTCCAGCAAAAGTGGGACCAATGCGGTTGGTGTGGAGGACACAGGGCTCTGAGGTGGAGCTGGAGTGCAAGGCAAGCGCTCGACCACCGCCGCGCATAACGTGGTACAAGGATGGGAAACCAGTCACCGATATTGCATTAAGAAGACTCCGGGTGCAAAATTTCAGGTAACGTCAATATCATTAATAACTAGCTCTTACCTTTACCTTTACCGCGTCTTTATATGCATAAATTGACGGTGGTCTAGCGGTTTGGTCGTCTTTCTTCCTATGGTTTGTGTTAGATTCCTCGCACGGTACAAACATTTATATTCATGAGTATGATTTCTTGTATCGGCGGGCGTTTTCTATTCATATTATGTATGTATTTAATGTATTTAAACTTAATATATTTTTTTAAACACCCAGACCAGTACAAATTTTCATGCTCATGAATACAATATCCACCGTGCGAGGAATCGAACCCACAACCATCGGAAATAAAGCGGTGTGCTAAACCGCTAGATTACTAAGAGTACATTATGATGACATTTCTCATAGAGCGACGATTGATACACCCTATGCTCCAAATATTATAAATGACGTAATGGAGTAACTTGAAACAGTCATGCTCGCTATAAAGTTCAAACTTTTAGCGGAGTGGTGGGCCGTCCTCTAATATTGTTGAGTGCAATCTGACTTATCCGTCATACTCGTGAATGGGTGCTACTTGTAAGAACTTGGGTTACAGCCACTCATTAAATTATTTTCTTCTGAGAAGAACGCAATATCATATGGTCACTACATTCTATGTATTTCTATAATCATGTACAAGCTCATTTGAAAATAATAAGAGCTGAGTTTCTTTTGACAAAACATTCCGAACTGACGATAGATTTTACATAAGTCTGTAATAGACCTACATGAATGAAAATATTTTGATTTGATTTGATTTGAATTGCATTTATGTCAATGTGAAGATTTATATTATAATTACTATGACCTACATCATCATCATCATCATCATTATTATCTGCTTCTTCCTTATTCCATTTATTTGTGGTCGGCGTAATATATTTTTCTCTTCCATTCATCCCTGTTCGCAGTCATCTCGTTATTTACTCCCTTTCTTACCATATCATCTTTCACACAGTCCATCCTCTGCCCTTATAACCATCAACATTCATAAGTAACACCTTCCTTGAAATATTATCTTCATTCCTACGCATTACATGCCCATAGCACGACAGATTACTCTTTAACCTCTCCGACTATGACCTAGATCACTGTTTGCAATATTGATCTTGATCCGAAGGTACTTCAGATGCAAACAATGCGTTAGTATGAACAATCAAATGAGGCATGAGTTTATCTGATGCTAATGTTCATTGCACACTCGCAGAATGCAATCATGATGCACTAATCTCAACTACAGGCGACTACCATTGACCCGTAGTACTTATACGACAGTTTACAAAGCAAAATCATTCGATAACAACCCTTATTCCGTTGCATCTAGAACTTCAGCTGGTTATTACGTGACTGTTAGTTCTAATTATAATGAAACGATTCGGACAGCAATTTCACGGTTTGTTGATGTGATTATTACGTTTATGTTCGTGGACTGCTTTTTTGAATTTAGAATTGTAAACAAGCAGACGACCCGCCTGATGGAAATGTCATATAATAACTATACATTATTACTAAAAGCAAGACATTGAGTGACAATAATAATACAAAAGTAGTGTTAACTAAAAGAATCGCTTCGTTGACTTTTAATACTACAATTGAATATAACAATTAGAGAATAATACTAATTTTTGAATATTTTATTAATGCATAATAGTAATAATATCTCACACATCGGCATCTAGACCCAAGTTAAGGTAGCTAAAGCTTGTGTCTTGAGTACTAGACAACTAATACATAGATTTTTTTCATAAATACCTACATAGAAAACACCTAGACCGATACAAAAAATCATACTCATGAATACAAATATTTGTACCGTGCGGAGAATTGAACCTGCGACCATCGGAAGTAAGGCGGTGTGCTAAACCGCTACACCACCGAACAGCATTACGGATATTATCAAATGAAATTACACTTTTAATTTTATACATTTTAAATAAATTTATTATTATTATTTACATAACCTAATTGTACAACTAAGAACCTAGAATTAAAAAGCTTAAAAAATATAATATGATAACTAAAATATATGATTAAAAGGGGTCCCTTTAGGCAATGTTCCGAAGATACTGGCAGCGTTCCCTCTTTGAATAGCTAGACTAATTCTTTGTCCGAGGTAGCTGCCAGCTCTTCGGTCTTCTATGATGTCGACTAACCTTTACGTGAAATAACACTTATTTTGTTTAAGGATGATAATGAATGATGGAGCCACTTAGGTGGCCCTCATCATCATATGATTCATTAAAAAATGTACACAGATATATAGTAAATTTAATTTCAATTTGTCTTCCCAATATTAGTCCCATAACTAACGCCATCTGTTAACGAATAGCGTACAATTATTTCTAAATTGTTCCGATTAACCCCAATAGTTGCAAGCGACTTATCGCTAGAAATACCAAAATCGGTCTTTGGTAATTTCATATTCTTTATTAATATAGTTAAACAAGTTTTAACACGAACAATTTCATGGGAATTAATTTTTTGACTAAGTTGCACTAATCGTGGTCTTCAGCTGCATAAATTGTTCGTATCTATTTATTTATTTTTATACCTACTATCTGTAAAAATATTTAGCCATATTTTTGACAGCCTCGGTGGTCTAGTGGTTTAGCACGCCGACTTACTTCCGATGGCCGCTGGTTCGATTCCTCGCACGGCAAAAATATTTATATTCATGAGAATATGTATGATTTTTGTGTATTTGCCGGTTCTTTTATATATTATATATTATACATTATTATTACATTTTTATATAGTATATATTTCAATTGTTTTTATAATGTTTTTAAATATTTATCTACAAAAAATTGTTTGCATCGTCTGGGTGTTTTCTATGTATAATATATATTTGTATCAGTTATCTAGTAGCGATAACACAAGATTTAGCTAGCTTAACATGGGTCTAGATGGCGCTGTGAGAATTGTACTGAGATTATTATTATGAATATATTTCTTTTCTTTTATCTTCTTTAAAAGAAGATGATACTCACCTACACGGGTCTTAGCCAAGTGTGGGAGAGGTTGTGCAATGTGAAGATGTTATTATTGTGGAAGTCAGAAATGTTATATGGCTTTTTATAAGAGATATGTTTTACTATGATTATTATTATTTAACTATACTAATATGGATATTGTATGTCATGTTTTCAGGAGGCGCTCGGTATTAGTAATAAAGCACGCCAGGCGTAAAGACTCAGCGACATATGAGTGCAGAGCGCAGGGTGCAGTGGGCCCGCCGGCCATCGCGACTGCGAACGTCAGTGTCCTACCAGTCGGGGCGGTCATCACCACAACCACCACCACACCACAACCTGACACAAGTAAGATACATAATTATTATTTATTTAAGCCCTTATTACCACCACACCACAACCTGACACAAGTAAGGTACATAATGATTATTTATTTAAGTCCTTATTACCACCACACTACAACCTGACACAAGTAAGATACATAATTATTATGTATTTAAGCCCTTATTACCACCACACCACATCCTGACACAAGTAAGATATAATTATTATTTATTTAAGGCCTTATTACCACCACACCACAACCTGACACAAGTAAGATACATAATTATTATTTATTTAAGCCCTTATTACCACCACACCACAACCTGACACAAGTAAGATACATAATTATTATTTATTTAAGCCCTTATTACCACCACACCACAACCTGACACAAGTAAGATACATAATTATTATTCATTTAAAGCCTTATTATCCTGCCTCTTATTTAATTAATTATTTATTTTAAATAACATCCTGATCACAAATATTCAAAAGAGCAACACACAAATTTCTTATCATCCCTTACTCGTGAACGGGTGCTGCTTGTGTGGACTGGTCTGCTCTAATCACTACGACTTATTTCCTCTTATTAATTGTTTAACCAGTTTTTGTGTATTGAATGTTATTTCATTAAATTAGTGCTAATCGGTAGTTTGTATTCAGACACTTAAACTAAAATTGTAAGTAAGAATAAATTATTTAAAAGAGCAACACACAAGTTTCTTGCTTGTTCTTCTTGTGATGAGACAGCATTTCGAATGAGCGGTAGATTAAAAAAAATGTAATGACTATTCAAAAATTAATTGCTTGTATTGAGTTTATTTGAATAAAGATTATTTCTATTTCTGTTTCCTTGCATTCCAAAATTTTACAGTAAGTTGGTAGGTATATAAATTCGAAGTAGATAAATTATGGTCCCTATTGGGCACAGTAAGCGAGAGAGATTTTATTTTATTCATTACTAGCTGTACCCGCGACTCCGTCCGCGTGGAATTTAACTTTATTTTTCTAAAATAAAATATTTTTTTTGAAAAGAGTATCCTAAGTTACTCCTTTACCTGCCAAAAAAGTCCCATCAAAATCGGTCCAGCCATTTCAGAGATTAGCCGAAACAAACAGACAGACAGACAAAAATTGTAAAAATATAATTTTTGTGAATGTACCGTATTTATATTCATATGTAGTAAAAAATGGTTATTTCAATATTACAAACAGACACTCCAATTTTATTTATATGTATAGATGTCAAATCACGTGATCATTTACGGATGTTATGTTTGCATCATTTCTGCTTATGGGAAACCGCTATATCGCGATTTCCTTGAAAAGGCATCTTGTAAACAATGCCACTATACCGATCAAGAGATCGCTTGTACAATAATGAGGTGCATCGGTTTTGTTTCATTACACATTGTTTATAATTGACACAGTTTATAAAAGGTCGTTTGCATCTACAACGTAATTATACAGTACAGTTTTAACTGTTTCCAACAATATTTCTACTATGGAAGCATATTTATTCTTTATTGTACACACACATAGGAAAAAAAACAGTAATAAGATAAAAATAATGTACAAGGGCGAGCTTTACTCAATGCCCAATTTACACTCAGACTGAGTGGGCAGGGAAGTGAGCAGCGCGGGAGTGTAAACACGAGTGGAAACACTTCCCATGCCATTGGCGCTGCCACTCGCGCTGCCCGGCGCTCCCTCGATTGTCGGTTTTTCGTGCGCGAGTCAAAGGACTGGCAGCGCGAGTGGCAGCGTGTTTTACATTCAGCCCTCTCGCTCAGTTGTCGCCCAGCAATATTTCCGGTAGCGCGAGTGGCAGGGGAAGCGGCTGAATGTAAACGAAGCATAAAAAGATTCTTTTCCAGCAAACCTAGAAAATGTTATAGGATAATTTAGTCACTAGATCAGTCATACATACGTGTATGAGAAAAGAAAAAAAAAGGAAAAGAATAATAATTATATATATAATGATAAGTCACACTATAAGAATGAATAAACATACACAAATATATACTACTTACTTACTAGTTTTTTGACAAGGCTTCGCTCACGTTAATTTTCGCCTAGGGTTGGAAATCTTAGTGGAAGCCTACGTCATAGTAGCTTTAGGCATGCAAAGTCTCAGCCCGATCGATTAAAAATTGACAAAGTTTCATCCCCTATTTTATCCCCTTGGGAGTAGAATTAATCAAAATCTTTTATTAGCTGATGCCAACGTCATAACATCTACCTGCATGCCAAATTTCAGCCCGATCCGTCCAGTAGTTTGGGCTGTGCGTTGATAGATCACTACGTCAGTCACCTTTGACTTATATATTATAAAAAAAAATATTAGGAATATTTTTATTGATAGAACTTATTAAAAATATTACTCCTTTACACAGTAACTCTGTTTTTACTAGTGAAATTGAGAAGACAAATATAGTTTTACAATTTTATAGGTATTAACAAACAGAAATCACAGAACACAAGCATAGACAAAATGAGCAAGCGCTCCACAAAAATATAATATAGTGAAGATATAATACTACAGATAAACAAATGTTTTATCGCATCAAAATTTGTTTATGAAAAGAAATTCCCTACATTCTAGTAGTGCAATGTAATAAGTGCAAAATGCATGCTTATCTTTCGGACTACTCTAAAACTGTTAGCCGCAGCTAGCCTTTACTGGTTCACCGGACGATAGGGGGCGAGTGCAGATGGCACTCCAAACCCGCGGAAGGACTTATGGAGCGGCTGAAGGCCAACTCCCGCCTGACGGATACGACTTTAGTCTGGGGGCACCGCTAGGGGTTCGAACCTCGGCTCAGGACGTCGTAATATCGATCCCCGTTTGAATTGGACGCATTTTGACCCTCTTGACCCCTTTGATATATATGTATAGGTATTAATAGTATTGTTTTTTTATTCACAGCGCCGTCGGGACCGCCCTGTCCGACGGCCAACCCTGCGTATCCCTACTGCCTCAACGGAGGAACGTGTTTCTTTATTGGAGCACTTAAAGAGCAGTTTTGCAAGTAAATTTATTTAATACTAGCTGTAGTAATTATCTTATAAATAAGTCTAGAATATTCTGAACAGAGCATGAATGAACGAGTTTTGACTGAGAATTAAGCAAGAGTTTATTCTCTGTCTATCCTGTAAGAGCTTCATTCCTTCTTAATAGGCCGGGAGCTTGAAATTACCCTAGTATTGCGGGTATTCACTTACCATAGCCGCCTGCTAGTTTGTACCCTATGCTATAAAAAAGACATGAAACCTATATATAGATAGTACAGCTATCTATCTGTACACTACATAATTCATATAAAAGTGTGTCTATACAATTGACGGCCTCGCTGGTCTAGCAGTTTAGCACACAGCTTTATTTCCGATGGTTGCGGGTTCGATTCCTGGCACAGTGCAAACATTTGTATGATTGTTTTTATTGGTCTGGGTGTTGTCTGTATATTATGCATTAATTTACAAAAATGTCTTTAAGTATTTATATCAGTTGTCTAGTACCTATAAAGCTCTGCTTAGCTTGGAACTACTAGGGTGACTGTATGATGTTACTGTTTCACGCAAAAACTGTTGAATCTATTTTGATGAAACTTTACAGTAATATAGCTTAGCTTATACCTACATCAGAATAACACATGCTATAAATTTCACGCGAGTGAAAGAACGGTTACAATTTTTTTTATAGCCTAGGGGACAAACGATTTAGTCTTAATAAAATTATAAACGCGAAAGTTTGTAAGTAAGATGTTTGTTGCTTTTACACGCAAAAACTACTGAACGGATTTTAATGAAACATTACAGTAATATAGCTTATATATAAGAATAATAGATTATAAATTTCATGCGTTTGAAACGGCGGGTACAATATTTTTTTTTATAGCCTAGGAGACAAACGAGTTATTTATTAATATATTCTTTACTTACAGATGTCCAGAGGGCTTCGTGGGGCAGCGCTGTGAGAATAAGCAAGTACCAAATAGCAGTAATAGGTATCACTATTTGTACTTATGCAAACTGGGGCTTTCCATGTCGTACTACTGTTAATCACCAACACCCCACCGCGCCATTTTAAAATTACGGCACGCTCTTACGGGGCTCTGTGGACTGCATTTTATGTTTTTTTTTATATAATTATCGTGTAAATAAATAGATATAGTTAACAAATTAAGTAGAACAGTTTGAAGTTGTGTTGAAGCATGATTGTAAGTTGCGAATTGAGTGTATTGTTATAATGGGTATAAAGATCAGCTGTTTTTTTTATCTAGTGATTTAAAGAATCTCGTATATCTCACAGCCATTGAGAAGACACGACGGTTCTGTATATTGTTTTTTCATGATTTAACTTTTTTTTAATTTGACTTTTTCATTTCTTTTTTTTTATTGTGAATAAAGCTGGCCAGTGAGATTTTTAATTTTAGTCGTCTTAATTATTCGTATATATTGTAACTGATGTTTTAATTATTTTATCTAATTATATATATATATAATAACAGAACTGAATTGCACACGATATTTAATTATATAACGAATTGTCAAAACTAAAATCATTATCTAGAAAAAAATGTTTCTACTATTCATTTAGCTATTATATTTCAATAATTTTTCTTTTTTAATTGAATAATTAAAAATAAATCATATTGAAATATTTTTTATTGAATTTTTTTTAATTCAATATTAAAATATAGTAGCTAACACTATTTCATATACAATTTCTACATAAAATTAGTTATGAAGTTGCAAGTCGAGGGAACAAGTAAATATATGCCTGTAGAAGAAAATAAAAAAACTATACTTGAATCATTAAATGAAACAAAATTTACAATAAACCATGTCAATATTATTATAAACACAACTGACAATTGAGGAAGCTCCTAAAGAATGAAGCTTATTTTCGTGAACAATAAATTAACAACAAATATCTGTAGGATATTAATAAATTTAGATACAATTCACATTTGTAATAGTAACAACTGTTATAGAAATTGACTAGAATAATGTTAACAAGAAACAAAATAGTAATTTATGTTTCAATTATAACGATAATAAATGTTCTGGAATTAAGTAAAAGCCAAGAGAGGATTTTTGTTTTCTTTTTAAAGCGAATGACAAATTTGAGGACGCGAATGTTCTTGTTATAAAATTTAATAATATAAACAATGTGTATAAACTTGGAAGTGCTGTTTTTATCAATACTACTGGGATTGAGGTGTCCATTTTAGTGTATGGAGCTCAACAAAAGGTTAAACCATCCTATAGTAGTGAAGAATTGAATATAAATGTATGAGAAGATAATAGCATTCAAGGTGTGACACTGTTACAGTATCTGAAAATGATAACTTTATCCCCGGAGATACATAGACCCACATAGATTATATAACCACTGCTTTAAAGAGGATCTAGAAAAGAAATTACGTAGATGAAACCAAATTACTGCAAAAACTAAAAAGTACAGTTGTGAATGAAATCAGTCTCATATATTAACGAGATAAAAGGAAAGAATTACAGAAGTTATTCATATTAAATATTGTCATTATTGAATTAAGTAAAGAAAATGCTGAATTGTGTAAATAGACTAAAATTAAACAATTACAAAAGAAGATAGAAACACGTGGAAATCATAAAAAGTATAATACAGAAAAAGTATATAAAAAACTAACAGAACATTTAAGTGGAATTGATCGCAGAGATGATTAAAAATAAAAATCTTGGGCATAGAGATATTATGATCTCTCTTACTAAAGTTTTGGAGTATGATGCACTGTAACAATGGAATTAAGGACAGAAGAAATAACCTGATTAAAAGATATAACTAATTACTCAATTCAGCAACAATCCTATATCTTGTATAAATACATACACATTTATTTCATGTAAAACCAAAACTAATCCATTTTGAAATATATCATTAAATATTGATACCGAGAGAACTATAATGTTGGTGGTATTGATATTTTAATTGTTAATAATGTTAAATATATTGAGTCTACAGACATTGTATCTACAGATTGTTTAAGGAAAAGGTCAGTTGCACTTTCAGATTATAAGACTATGGAAATTTCTGTATAAAGGAATAAAAGGGAAGTAATAAACCAAATTAACACATAATACAAGGACATAAAAATAACATAACAAAAACTATATAATATACTAGCGGTTCCCGCGACTTCATGCGCGTGGAGTTTAACTATATTTTACTAAAATAAAAGATTTTTTCTAAAATAAAAGTAAGTTACTCTTTATTACATCAGCTAACTGCCAAAAAAGTCCCGTCAAAATCGGTCCAGTCATTTCAGAGATTAGCCGGAATAAACAGACAGACAGACAGACAAAAATTGTAAAAAATGTTATTTTGGTGTATGTACCGTATTTATATTCATATGCAAGTAGTAAAAAACGGTTCTTTCAATATTACAAACAGACACTCCAATTTTATTTATATGTATAGATTAGTACAGATATTTGTAAAGCAAATTACAATATAAAAGAAAATTTAGAAGGAAAATATCTTTAGTTAAGTCTACATCTATTTACTTCTATTGCTTTATATATCTAAAAAAGTACATGTGTTTACTCAATGACTGCGTATTCTTTTTGTACAGAAAGTAATAGAGTTTTAGATATATTTACTTCTTTTTTACAACCTTTAACTTACATATAATCACGTACATTTAATTTATTATTTTCTTTCTAATATATATACATACTTATTGATAAAGTTGTAAATATTTTACATACATTTGTAATATTGCGATTAATTGTATTGTTATTATTAAATATAAGGTTTGGATAATTCTAGAATGTAATGTTCAAATAGACTTGCAGCTATGTACATATCTATTAGGGTAAGATTTTTGTAATTAAAAATACGACCAGTCCACTGGGTACTGTTGAAGGATCTACACACGATACTAAAATTAGGGTGAGTATCAGAGGTGTGGTGGCTCTGGACCGCCTCGTGTGTAGCGAACTCAGGACCGATTTCACATAGTATATCTACTATATGAAATCGGTCGGATATAACTGATTCTAGAGTTGTGTGTAGATCGTTTTATTTCTATTTTGCGGTAGCTCGCTTTATACCACCATATCGTACGATTTTGAAACATGAAACGATACAAAAATCAAATGTACGCATGTGTAAAGTCATACGCTTTTAATTGTACGCCTGTAAAGGTCATATCTTACGCTATCATTAGTAGAATTATTCGCGATATTGTAGAGTAAATTATGAAAATCCTGAACATTATACTATGTCACCAAGAGCTCACTTTGCACATTGCGTTTCGATTTACAGGCTGAAATATGGCAGTGAAAATTCTTGGTCCGTTATCCTTACACTGTAATACTCTGGAATGGCATGAGGTGTACTATCTATCAGTGTTCTGTTAATGCCCATGTTGCTATTAACGTGGGCCGTATTTGCCATTCCAAGAGGCATACTAACTACAGAAAAGTAAACAGCTATGTCGGTAGAACATTTCATTAGATAAAGCATACTGTTTTCTTTTCTTTATGTCTATATATAACATAGAATACAAAATGGCGGGGTCATACAATACACTCTGATATAGGGATGATCGATGTTTTATAGACATCGATGTTGTGTTCGATGACACCGATACACCGATGACGTGTGTTCGATATATCGATACATCAATGATATATGTTCGATATATCGATACATCGATGTTTCTTATAATGTATCAAAATAGGAATTGAAAATTAGAAAGTCGTGAGAAAAATACTGGCGTTCTAATAAACAAGAAGAATAATAGGCCAAGGAAAACATTAATATTTTTTATCAACGAAGTTTTTCATTTGATACTATATTATTATTTGATGTCGACTCGATGTTTTCTATATATCGAACATCCCTACTCTGATATGTTATTCCCTAATTTGGCGGCCCAATATAGGTACTTTACCTAGTCAGAATGCAGTTTTAATATAGCTAGATAGGTCTGAATAAATTAATTTATATACTATAATTTTGAGTGATTAATTGAACGAATGGTTTGTGGATGTACCGTATTTTTTTTATTGTACGATATTTATACCCGCCTGTATTGAACAATTTCTCTAAATCACTATTTTTGGGGCCCAACATAATTATAAAATATGTTTGTTATTATTTTTCAGTTTGTATAAAGGTCGTAGAATATTTAAGTTTAATTAATTTATATAATTAGTGAAGGGAATATTTATTATTAAACAATTTGTGGATTCTAGGGCATTACAACTAAGGCCGAGTGACGTCGTTGACTGTACACATTTAGAGTTTTTTTTTTTAAGAAAATATGCAGTTTCTCCAATATGTTTATCTGAATTGTGACGTCATTATGCCTTAATAACAGTCTCACAACAAATATTAAGAAAACTTAATTAAATATGACAATGTAATGGTTTACCAAATTAAAGAATGAGTGTTGCAATTAACAGAAAGGCGATCATTTCTTTTGTTTTTTCACACATAAAACCTATACCCTTGAAAATAGATGAATGATGCAATTGGAAAGGCGCTACTTGTTTGAAATGGTATGTATCATTCAAATTTTTTTTTATCGTGCACAGAAATAACACTCCGCACTCATTTGCTAATAAAAAGGAATCCTTTTACTTTAAAAGAGCATTTCTTGTATATATATATATATATATATATATATATTTATTTATTTATATACTTATTATTTATACATATATTTCGAAGAGTAAAATTTCGTATTTACAATATTTAGTTCTATTATTTAAATTTATCTACATTGGTAAAACACCGAATGCTAAAATGCTAAAAAAATTGTCCATTTAAAATCTTTAATACTTTTTTTTTTATAGCGCCATCTCGTAGAATTTTCTGGTATTAGTACACTAACAAGAATTGCTCATTTAAACTAATTGGATAACTAATAAGTAAAATTTTACGAAATGGTGTTACAAAAATATGTTTTTAGAGTTTGGAGTGTTTACAAAAAAAATACTGGTCGCCCAGTTACCTATATCCATTTATACATTTAATTATAACTGGCTGGAATATAAAACTTTTATTTTAATTAAATAAAATAATAATTCGATGAAAAAGTTTGTATTTTGACACATAGAGCTACTTGTTCGTAATTTAAATAGGTACAGGTAGGCCGGAAAACATGTATCTATTGCTTATTATTATTATATAAAATCATCACGTTAATTATTAAATTATTGTGATTAGTGAAATATACATCTACCGTAGAATGTTAAACCTACAAAATTACAATAATAAATCTTATTAAAGTTACATTTTATAATTATTTAATACATCTACTGACTAATGCTTCATAAAATTATGTAGTGACTAATAAGGGTATAGCATGCTAGATGCATGTACTATTTACTTGAAATCTATATATTAAAACTTATTATTTGTTGTGAGATAATATTTTTTATGTAGTTAACTTGCATGTGGGGGAAATGTAATGGTGAAATACGGTGTATGAATATTTTTTTTCTGTCAACAGGTAAAGGGCGAACCGCCGGTGATGAACGAAAAAAACGATCCTACTGATCCCAAACGGAATTGTGCTAAATTAAGTAAGAGAAATTAAGCATTCCTGCATAATTGTAACTTGTTAGTGGCCTTGATTTGTTAAATAGCTTATTATCAAGATTTAACGTAAGCGGCCATTCAAAAATTACGTCACATGTCACATTTGTGAGACTTACCCATCCCTAGTGTCACATATTTCTCATATTAATACCTGGAACTGATTACATTAACAAAC